ACAGAAATGAATACTCTCAAAATTAATCACTAACCTTTGTCTGTAAGTTCTTCTCACGTTATAAGCACAGATGCTTCTCAAAATATAAAACTGTAAGTCGCCTTAATACTAATGTTTATTTTAAAAGATAGTTAAAATGAACATTAACTACTGTAAAAGAAAAACATGTCATCTACATAGTCAAATTCAACAATCTTCTATTCATTATTCCAACAATCAACAGCGAGTAGAAAAAGCCCACTAAATACATGGTCATGATATGTAATTTCATTATTCAAAATACAGAAGTAGACTTTTTAAAAGTATACTTAAATGAGAACATGAATTTGTACCTCGGATTAGTTACCAGAAATCTTGATAAAACACTACCCAGTTTTGCCAAAATATTGTTTAATTTAGAAAGTGAAACCAAAAACTTCCTTGGCACAGTATGTGTCTCTTTAATTTCAAAATATTAATTTGAATGTTCTATTTTGACAGCATGCTAAGACAGACATTATATTTTAAAGACACAAAAGGATGGAAGCCATTTCAGTGTAGTTAGAGCATGTGTAAGTATGTACTCACACTCTAAACCATCAAGGTTACTTGTTCACAGAATACATTTGAGGTCCAGGATTGTGGAAAGAGAAAATACTTCTGTGAGGGATGTTAACATTGCTTACAGAAACATTGGGTGTTACACGGAGCAGAAAGGAGTAAAATCAAATTTTAAAAAGTACATAAGACCCCTTGACACCAAAAGCATGAACCATTAAAAAATGGATAAACTGGACCTTATCAAAATTTAAACATTTTTCTCTGTGAAGGACCCTGTGAAGAGGACGTAAAGACAGGTAACAGACTGGGAGAAAGTATTTGCAAACCACGTATCAAACAAAGGACTAATATCTAGAATTATATATAAAGAATTCTCAAAACTTATTAAAAGCAGTGACTCAGACACATGTACACCAATGTTCATGGCAGTATTACTCACAATAGCCAAAAGGTGGAAACAACCCAAGCACCCATCAACAGATGAATGGATAAACAAAATGTGATGCAGTCGGCCCTCCGTATCCACGGCTTTTGTACCTGCAAATTCAACCATACGTGGATTGAAAATATTCAGAAATTAAAAAAAAAAAAAAAGGAACGTGTAGGCATACCCTACTGTAGCCTCCTGCCATTTCACAGATCCTCAGTCTCTCTCCAGCACTCGTTGTCTGAGTGTTGTTCGTCTTGCATCTGACATCTAAGTAGTTAGGCCTACGGTGGTTGGGTCTGTACTGAACATGTACAAACTTTTTTTTTGTCATTAGTCCCTAAACAATACAGTACAACTATTTACATAGCATTTACATTATCTTACGTATTATAAGTAATCTAGAGATGATTTAAAGTATACAGGAGGATGTGTGTAGGTTACATGCAAACACTACACCATTTTATATAAGGGACTTGAGCATCTGCAGATAATCATATCCGCGGGGGTCCTGGAACCAATCCTCTGAAGATACCGAGGGATGACTGTAGATACTTACAGTGGAGAACTGTACAGCTATAAAGAGTAATGAAGTTCCGATACATGCCACTACATGGATGAACCTTGAAAACATTATGCTAAGTGAAATAAGTCATGCACAAAAGGACAAATACCATACGATCCCACTTATATGAAATATCCAGAATAAGTGAACCCATTGAGACAAAAGATTAGTAGTTACCAGTGGATGAGAGAGGCAAGGGAAAAAGGGAGTTAAAAAAATGCACACTGAAAATTGGTGAATTTTATTATATGTAACCAATACCACATCTTAAGAAAAAAATTGTCTTGGATGTGAAGGATAAAACTTCCGAATTTTCCATCACTAAAATTAACATTATTACCAAGTATAGAATAAAAACAGATATACTAAAAAAAAAAATTCTCAAAACTCAACTGTAAGAAAACCACCCAGTTAGAAAATAGGGTAAAGATGCGAAGAGACATTTTACTGAAGAGGATATACAGATGGCACATAAGCATGTGAAAAGATGTCCAACATCATTAGACATCAGGGAAATGCAAATTAAAACCACAAGGAGATATCACTATACACCTATCAGAATGAGTTAAAAGAAAAAAAAGTCACAACACCAATTGCTGGCAAGGATGAAGAGAAACGAGATCATTCATCCGTTGCAGCTGGGAATATAAAATGGTACAATCCACTCTGGAAAACAGTTTGATGGTCCCTTACATGCAACTATTATACATCCCAGCAGCTGCACTCTTGGGGATTTGCCCCAGAAGAATGGAAACTTATGTTCACACAAAAACCTGTACATAATTACTTGTAGAAGTCTTATTCACACTAGTCATAAACTGGAAAGAGCCCAGATGTCTTTCAAAGAGTGAATAGTTAAAGAAACTGTGGTACATCCATACCATAGACTACTACTCAGCAATGTAAGGGAATAAACTATTGACACAGGATACATTCCCTGGACAAATCTCTAGGGAATTATGCTGAGTTTAAAAAGTTAGTTTCAAAAGGTTACATAGTATGATTCCATTTATATAACATTCTCAAAATGACAAAATTATAGAGATGGAGAATAGATTAATGGTTGTCAGGGGTCAGAAAGGGAGGGAGATAGCTGTGGCTATAAAAGGGCAACACCAGGGATCTTTGTGGTGATGAAACTGTTCTGTAACTTGGCTGTGGTGGTTGTCATATGAATCTGCACACTGACAAAAATGCATCAAACTAAATACACAACATGCAAATGAGTGCATGTAAACCTGGTGAAATTTTAATAAGGTGGATGGACTGTATTCATTTCACTGTCCTGGTTGTGATATTGTACTACTGTTTAACAAGATATTACCATGGGGGAGGGGGCAGGAGGGTTAGGATCTACGATAATCTCAAAATAAAAAATTAAAGCAAAAAGAAAAAAAAAGTAGGTAAGACCAGCCAATGGCAGGAGTGGAAAAAATAAATCTTTTTATTTTTTGTTAAAGGCTCAGCAATCGAAAGTCAAGGAAGAAGAAAAAATAAAAAGAGAATCTACAAGCTATAATTAATAAAATCATCTCTCCCTCCCTTATGGAGCCTTAACCTCCCCAGGATTTTGTTTATATCCCTGATTTAATTGTTGTTGTTGTTAATAAAAATAAACTCTACATACATCTATCTCTCCACAACACCACGACCTCCACCACCACCATCCCAGACTATAAATTCATTGGGTAGGGACAGTCTTCGTAACGGTCATATCCCAAAGGTCTGGCACTTGGTAAAGGAACAAGATAAGTTGAATGAGTCAACGAATGAATGATGCCTGCATATTCTTTTAAAGTGCCTAGCCAATCACAGTTATAAGGCTGTACATACATACTCTCTTACAAATTTCTAAAAGTCATGAACCTTAAAAACAGTGTGGTAATGCACAGATTTCACTTGCAAGCAAAAGTTAACAATATAAAAGCAGTATAAGAATATAACATTTTTAATTGGGGAATTTCAGGATCCTTCTGTCCAACCATCAAAACGCTTATTTTACAGATTCAAAAGCTAAGACAGGTAGAGGGAATCTTTCAAGGTTATACAACTAGCTAGAGCTGGGACTGGAACCTGAGCCTTTCCAGAGTCCCAATTCATTTCTCTTCTCACTGAACTGGGCAAGACTCTCCTTTCTCCATCTATCCCACCCCTACTGAAATACTCAAGCAAACAAATATACATTTTAATCTAAATCACTTTCGTGTGTTTTTTTTTTAAGTAGGGTTTTTTTTTTTTTTAAAACAAACTGAATTTACTCAAGCTTCCAATTGTGGCATTACCCCTTCCATGGATTTTTTTGTAGATGTTAAATTACTTCTCATAGCGGGACAATACGATTGTTTATTCTATTGTGCAACTATACTGGCAGTTTACTGTTTCATCCCCATCTAAATGGCAGAAGAAAAAAAAAAAACATTGCCACTGAGTCAATTCTGACTCAAAGCAACCCTATAGGACACAGTAGAGCTGACCCATAGGGTTTCCAAAGAGCGCCTGGTGGATTCAAACTGCCAACCTTTTGGTTAGCAGCCGTAGCACTTAACCACCATACCACCAGGGTTTCCCTAAACAGCAGAGAAGGTTTTAATTCTAAGAGGATCTTACCCTTTAGCAGCTCAATCAAAAAGGAGCTATTCTATAATTCAAGCAGCCTTAGTCTATTGAAATCTTGAGCTGATATGCTCCCTAAGGGTACTTTGAGTCGTTCTGTTCTTTACTTGCAAATCAAGAACAGCTAAAACTATTTCTTGTTAGAGACAAAATTAAAGAAAATCTTCAAGTGACAAGCAACTATCTGGAAATAGAACTTCAATGAGGTTAAATCTCCGTTATGCAGCCGCATGTTACAAAGCATGAATTTAAAAGTTCTACAATTAAAACACTACAAGGAATCTTAGTTGTGCTCTAGTCCAACATCCTTATTTTTGCAGGTGATGAAACTGAGGTGTTGATTAAACCATTAACCAATAAAGCAAACTGCTTACTTTTTCAAAGAGATCCATTTAAATGCCATTTTACTCTTATTTTGCATCTCACTGCCATTTCTTAGAGCAATAATTGACTTTAATGCCTTTGGAGGAGATGCTGGAGTGAAGAGGAGAAATGACGTCTTATTTAAAATATGTAACCCCTCGATGGGGTTAAGCAGTGAATCATATTCTCCTAGATTTTTCTATGTGCTATAGACATTAGCCACAATTCTTGTCAGGCACTCAAATGAGAGGAAGAGGAAGTGAATAAAGGCTAATACTAAATACACAGCACACATTGAAGGCAAGGATGTAGATAGAAAGAACAGGAAAAAATAAGACCATGCTTCTGCTAGAACCCAGCCGTTTTCTAACATACCTAAATGTATGGAAGAGAAGATGATATTGGAAGCCCGAGCATCCTTCAAAGTCGAGAGGGCGGATGCTTCTACGGCCAGAGCGGACTTCTTATCCCTCAGATACAGAGCGACTGGGAGGGGACAAAATGGAGTTGAGGTCTAGGGGCGCCCTAAAGGTCGTTTGGAGGTCTGGCAAGCACTTGAGATGCTCCTCTCGAAAGGGTCCTGGCAAAGCAGAGTACCCCGATCAGGAAGATCAGGGAGCAGCAGGAAGAGGTAGGCCAGGGTCTCAAGAAGCCCAGAGTCCAGCAAAGGAAAAGACAGGGTGACCTCGGGGCTCTTCCCGGCTGGCTGAGGCAGGCGAGTAGACCGCCCTGGCTCAAGAAGAAAGCGAGCCGATTTGGGGAACAGGAATGCCCACTCAACCTCCCCCCAGCTCAGGTGTAGGACGGTGGCCCCACTGGAGACGGGGCCCCGAAAGGGACAGGGCAGGGATGCCGGCGCCACAGCCTCACCAGCTGGGGTTACTCACCGCAGACGCTGCCCACCACGTCTTCCCAGCCGGCCGGCGCCTTGCACTCGGGAAGCTGCCGAAAAACACCCGCGTGCCCGCTAGCGCTGGGACGAGGAGGGGCGCGCCGCGGAGGCCGGAGAAAAAGCCGCAGCAGCGCGCGCGCACCCGGACGGCAAGCGGAGGCGGGGCGAGGCGCGGCGCGAGCCCGGAAAAGACGGGCCCGGAGGGGCGGGCGGAGCGGGGGCGTGCGGTGGTGTGGCTGAGCCAGCCGAATCGCGGGCGGCCTAGGACTCGGCCCACCCCCGCGCCCCCCTCCCCCGCCCCGCTCACCCCTCTACGTCACCCCCAGAAAAGACCGGGCCCAGCCGGCTTCGAGCGGCCGGGGAGGGGCGTTGCGGTGGAGCCCAGGCGTCTAACAGCTCCCCCGGGCTCGCTGCCGCAGGTTGTTGTCTCGCTTTGGGGCCTCCTCAGCTAGTCTGCAATGTTACCAGGGGTGTTCTCGGAAGTCCTCTCGCCTATCTCTCACTTCAGTGAGGTGCAAAACGGCCTCAAACCCGCACCTGTGCTTGGTTCCCAGGACTCCACCCCAGGATGAAAGTTATCCGCGGCTCATCCTCCAGCCGCCCTTTATAGATACTCATCTTTGGATTTAATTGCTCTTCCTTTAGAGAGAGATCTTAACACTCCTTGACCAAGGGCATCCTGCTTCTTCAAGACTGAGCTATATTGCCTCTCAGCCATTTATGTTACCTCTCATTGCGTTAAGACCCCGATCCCTCCCACTAATGAAATATCACAGTGATGCAGGGTTTTTACTTGATGCCTTTCATTTCCACGGTGGTGGATTGGCAAAAGAGTCTACATATTAAAAGGAAAAGTCACAGCAGCAATGTGACGTCTTAGTGGCCTGATTGTTGCTTGTGAGCCGGTCCTACAAATACTGTTCCCAAGATTCAAGAAATTGCTCTGTTAAAAATTAAATTCCAGCGAACTGCCTCAGGAGTTCAAAAGAGACCATAATTGCAAATGAGCCACTACAAGCTGCCAAGAATATATATTAGCAAAAGAAGTCACACTCCAGTGATCTTCCAGTGCCCTGATGCATAATGATGGACTAGCTGCTGCTTCCTACTGGTAACGGACATTTCATTTCCCTTTACCTCAGGTGCCTCTTTTTTTCTATGAAAAATTCATTATTATTGCGTTATTTAATAACTTGCTATTTTCCATTTTCCCATAGAATTACCAGAGGAAACAACAATAGATATATGTATATACAGTATATGTGTGTGTGTATATATATATCCCGTTGCTGTCGAGTCAGTTCTGACTCATACCAACTATATATATATATGAAGAAGCCCTGGTGGCAATGGCTAAGTGTTTGGCCAGGTCGGTGGTTTGAACCCATGGCGCTCCTCTTGAAAAAAGATCTGGTGATCTGCTGCCATAAAGATTACAGCCTGGGAAACGCCATGGAGCAGTTCTACTCTGTCCTATAGGGTCATTATGAGTCGGAATCAATTCAACGGCATACAACAACAATAACGTGTGTGTGTATATATATATATGTAAGTATATACACACGTATACATGTGTATATATGCACATATGTATAGCATATGAATGAGTCCTGGTGGCACGATGGTTAAGCGTTAGGTTGCTAACTGAAAGGTGGGCAGTTCGAACCCACCAGTGGCTCCTCAGGAGAAAAGGTCTGGCGATCTGCTTCCTTAAAGATAACAGCCTAGGAAGCCCTATGGGGAAGTTCTGTTTTGTCACATGGGGTCACTCTGAGTCTTAATCGACTCGACAGCACACGACAATATATGTATTTATGTGAGTGTTTGTGTGTACACCTCAGATTAAATTCTTATATTAGTAAATTCTTAAACTTTAGTATGTGTCAGAATCATCTGGAATGTTTGTTATAATGTGGGTCCCTGGAGCTATAACCCCCAGATGTTTTGATTCTGATCTGAGTGAGGCTGAGAAATTTGGATTTTTAATAATCACCCCAGGTGACACTTTGATGGTTGGAACCCATGATTTAAGAGCACAGAGCTACAGCTTTTTGTGTGTTACTACTCTGAAGTTGGATTACTCAACCAATTTCCAACAGGGCCCACACACATGTATATAATATGTCTATAAATATTACTGTGGCAATCATGCAACTTCCTTTTTCGGGACTGACCTAGAAAGTTCAGGGCTTCAAACAACAAGTTTACTTGTTATACTTATTTTATGAGATCTTGTCATAATACCAGAAATAAGTAATCATTTGTCAGCTATAATTCATTGGGTACCTACCGTGTACAGAGCACCACTGCCCTCCGCCATGTGTAGTAGGGTAATGAAAAAGAAATTGAAGGGATGATCTTCCCTGCCCTCAACAAATTTAGCTCTAGTTGTGGAATTAAAACATAGACACAAGTGACCAGTGTAGCACGTAAATTAATCTTTTGGATCAAGATGAAAAAGAACTTGTAGATCAAGATTACTTTTGTCAGTTTCCTTTGCTATCGGTCTCTTAGCCCAAACCTTTTCAGTTAGATAATTTCCTCTGAACACTGAGTCCTCAGCTTACTTGAAGTTCCTCTAACTTTACAACGTATAAAGGAAAGAAAAGGTCCCTGGGTGGTGCAGACGGTTTGCACTTGGTAGTAACCCAAAGGTTGGCAGTTCAAACCCACCCAGCAGCACCAAGGAAGAAAAGGCCTGGCAATCTGCTTCTGTAAAGACTACAGTCAAGAAAACCTCATGGAGCAGTTCTACTCTGCACATATGGGGTCACCATGAGTCAGAACTGACTGGATGGCACAAGACAACAACAACAGCAAAAGAAAGAAATCACTAGAGCCTGAAGCTATCTGTTTTTGTTTGTATGTGTATTTTTAATCAGATAAGAAACTGCTTGAATTTTCAAGATCTTTATCACGTAAGCTATTCATTAATGCACACCTTTCTGGCTACCTTTATCACCTACCACATGTCACCTTTTCCTCCACATTTAACCACACCCAGGTAGAAGAGGAAAGAAGAACTACATCTTCAAAAAGGAAACCAGGTGTATCTACACTATTTTCCAGCTTCTCCTTTTTCTCTTTTTCAGGGTCAAAACAAACCTCGTTTAATTTCTCATTATCAGAAACCCTCCAGAACTACTGCCAAAAAACCAAACCCACTGCCGTCTAGTCGATTCCAACTCATAGCAACCATATAGGACAGAGTAGAACTGCCCCATAGGGTTTCCGAGGCTGTAAATCTTTACGGAAGCAGATTGCCACATCTTTCTCCAGCAGAACAGTTGGAGAGTTCGAACTGCTGACCTTTTGGTTAGCAGCCGAGCGCTTAACCACTGTACCACCAGGGCTCCTCCCAGAACTACTACCCAGGAGGAAAACATTCCCCAAGCCAGCTGTTGGACATTTTAGAGAGAATATTTGCACCATTGTTTACTAGTTAGGAAGACACGGGATTGTTGTCCCTTTTTTGCAGAAAACTAAACAGATGCAGGTTAAACGACTCGTCCACTCACAACTCACTAGTAGCAGAACCTGGATCTTCTACTACAGGTCTCATGACTCTTCCTAGACCAAGGCACTTGCCATGACATTCCCTTGGTAGTAAGTCCTACCCAGAACTACCAAACCAATTAGAAACGGAGTACTTAAACACATGGAAATGGATAAGTTAGGAAAATGTGCAGTGCAGTTGAAAAATTCAAAGTACAACCCAAAAAAGTACTGAAAGCATGACAATTAAATTATTCAAAGCTAAATAGAATTTAACGAGACAGCTCTGTTAAGCAGGCGCTGATATTTAGGCCTCACCCCTTTTACTCTCCAGTAACTAGAAGCCGAAACAGATAGCCAGACTGGCTCTTGGCATTAGTTATTTATGGAAGGGCAGAAAACAACTGTTCTTCATTGACTGTGTAACAAGCCTATGCGTGTTAAACATACTTCAGAGGTTTGTACAATAATAATTTCCTCCTGTGGTCCAACTACAAGCAGCAGGAGTTTATCATAATATTTGCATAGACAAGTTATATTAGATTTTGTCATTAACAAAACTTTATTTTTTTGTAGACCCAGTAACCAGGCCAAATATTGTCTTCAGTGGTGTGTCTGAAACAACTGCTGAAATCAGAAACCTAGGCAGAAGATGATCTCACTGTGAACATAAATAATAACCTAAGCCAGTCCTTTGAAAAATGGTCAAAGGCATAGTCACTAGATCTAAATGTTAGTTTTTGAGAAATGATTCTTTAATCTTTTCAAATCTTCATTTCTTTTAATTCCAGCACATCTTAAAGGTCTTTTAAATTAATTGAAAGACCAAAACAAATGGAAAGCACATAACACTTCTGGACGGGAAGGCACAGTTTTGTAAAGAGTCGATTCTTCCCCAAATTATCTGTGAAGTCAGTGCAATCCAAATCAAAATCCCAGCAGGACTTTAATGGAACTTAATTTCAGCTTCTATCGTTAAACTCATTCTTAGTCCTTTATAAAACTAACTCCTTTCCCCTCTAAATAAAATCCTCCAACGTTATCCTTGTAAATTTCCTTAGCGACCTTCCCAAAATGGGGGAAAAAAAGAACAAAATATTCATATTATCTATAGGTCAGAGGCATGTAAAATGGGCTGTGGTTGTCATCAAATCTGCAAGAAAGTTATCTTTGGTACATTTTTTGCCCATGCTCTGTAGTAATTCCAGCTTGGTACTGTTAGGAAAGAGGCTAGGTCACCAACAGCAAAACTCACCTTAAATCTCGTTTTATTACTCTTTTCCTTTGACATAGAAGAATATTCAGTTATTTCCCATTCTTAAAAGACAAGTAAAATAACAACAAAATTTTTAAATGCCACTTACTCAGAATCGTACATTATTCGAGCCGCTAGGAGGCCACTTGGTGCAGAGTAGCAGGATGGAAACCACATAAGCTTTGGACTTAGAAAACCATAGACAAAGTTACATCATCTCTTTCTGAGCCTCAGCCTCCTCATCTGTGAATTGGGGATAATGATGGTACCTCACTCATAGGGCTCTTCTGAGGGAGGATTAAATAAAATCACGCTCATTTTACGGATGAGGAAAAAAAATGCAGCCAGAACCAGAACTCATATCCTTCCATTACACCACACTAGTCTTCATCAGATTCTCTAACTTATTGAGTGACTTTCTTTAAAGTCAAGGCCTGAATTCCTTGAGAATGTGGTCTACAACCACCACCTTTTCTTTTATTCACTAAATCATTCTCTAACCTCCAATCTAACTTCCATTCCCTTCAATCCTCCAAATATACCCATTGCTAATGCCTTCTATGAAATGGACAAACCCCATAATTATACCTAAATATTCACTCTGCTTAAACTTTCAGACAGTTATTCAAAGCAGTCCTTCAAACTAAAATGTTGTAATAAAACTATTTTCTTCACTTGGACCATATATAGGAACCATCATGA